CCGGACCCCAAAAAAAAAAAAAAGAGTCTCATGGACTTTCTTGCCCGGGCTGGCTTTGACCTGTGATTCTCAGATCTCAGCCTCCTGAGTAGCTAGGATTACAGGTGTGAGCCACTGACACCCAGCTAAAATAATTTCTTTATTTGTGGCTTATCTCATATAGTTGGGGTTAGTCTAGTGCCTGCATAGAGCATACAATGATTCATTGAAGTAATAGGGTCTGAGTGCCAAGTCACTTCTCAACAGTCACACAACTTGACCCCTCTAGTTTATCCTTTGCCCAGTCTTTTGAAGATTGGGACTTTAAAGGAAGAGGAAACTAAACCTTAAGTTTCTTCAAAATGCTTTTTTTTGGGGGGGGTATTGTTGGGGACAGGACCTGTATATAGTGATTTTTTAAAATTTTACTGTAATCCTAATTTACCTGTAATCCTAGCTACTTAGGAGGCTGAGATCTGAGGATCGGGGCTCAAAGCCAGCCCGGGTAGGAAAGTCCGTGAGACTCTTACCTCCAATAAACCACCAGAAAACTGGAAGTGGTGCTGTGGCTCAAGTGGTAGAGTGCTAGCCTTGAGCTGAAGAGCTGAGGGACAGAGCCCAGGTCCAGAGTTCAAGCCCCATGACCCCCCACCCACCCACCAAAAAGAAATTGACAATCATGGGGCTTGAACTCAGGGCCTGAGCACTCTCCCTGAGCTTTTCCACTCAAGGTTAGCACTCTACCACATTGAGCCACAGTGCCACTTCCAGTTTTCTGGTAATTAAATGGACTTTCCTGCCCCGGTTGGCTTCAAATTGTGATCCTCAGATCTCAGCCTCTTGAGTAGCTTGGATTACAGGTGTGAGCCACCAGCCTGTGGATCTTTGGCTCAAAGTGTAGAGCACCAGCCTTAAGGGAAAAGAGCTCAAGGACAGTGTCCAGGTTCTGAGTTCAAGCCCCATGAGTGACTAAAACAAAACCCAAAAACTTATTGTAATGCAAGCTACCGCCCCAGCCTCACTCTGTTAGTGAGCAGGAGTCATTTTGACTTTGTTCTGAGTACTCCTCCTTACGAATCCTCCCATGTGGCCTGGCCCTTATTTACTTTATGACGGGGCAGAAGCAAGCAAAGAAATGGTCATCTGACCTCATGTTAATCCCATCACTGTTGCCTTTCCCCTGGATGGCAAAAAGGAACATCTGTTCACATTAGGATCATTCCTCCTGCAGAGTAAGGTCTAACAGCAGTGACTCTACAAGTAAGAGAAAATGAGGTGTCCTGGTAGAAAGAAGCCCTTCATTAGTGAACACACACATTAAGGAACAATAAGACCAAAGGAGGATATTCCTAGGGAAGGATCACAAAGGCTCAATGCCTATGTGCTTTTTTTTTTTGTTCATCTTGTTTGTTGACTTATCTGTCTTTGGGAGGATAAAGGGGAGTACAGAAATGGAGTGACAGATGGAGAACAAATGCAGCCATGGTACTGGACACTAAGTTGAAAATGAACTATGTAACCTGTGGGTGGGGACGGGAGGGAAAAACAGTGAGGGAAGGGGTGACATTGTCCAAAAAGAAATATACTCTTTATCTCACTTATTTAACTGTAACCTCTCTGTGCAGCACCTCTACAATAACAATAAAACATTTTAAAAGAATGTACAGACAATGAGGTGCTAACTACCAACCGCCCAGAGCAAGCCTCAAGAAGATGATTGGGTAATTCAGGCATAAGGCAAAGGTTAGATTAAATGGTATGGGAATGAACAAACCCTAGTATAGGCAATCAGCTGGGCAGTTTATGTTACATTTCTGGCTCTTAAAGGCTCTCCTCCAGGTGGGGTTAAGGTGCAGATAGGCCGAGCTTGGGAGTCAGTACTGTCAGCAGCTGTGGGTTCAGTTCTGGAGAAGTGACACTTCTTTGGGGCACTAGTCGATTTTATTATCTGAGGTGCTGGATGCTCACCTTGACAAAGCAGTGTCTTCCAGGCTAGCGTCTGGGGAGTCACTCACCTTTTTTTGGTGTGGGCATCTCTAGCCTGGACCCCAAACCAGGGCAGTGAAGCAGATTGTGCATTGTGATTACAGAGGCCTCGTTTGGTTGCTGGGCCCCAGTTTCTGGCCTTCCTGGAACAATACTGTCCTATCACTGTGAAGACTTTCTACCCTACGCTGTGGTGTTTTGAGGGACGGCTACAAACTATCTTACGAGTCTTCATGCAGCCAAAACGCCGAGTTCCTTATCAGAGGTAAGAGACAGAACAAGGTCAACATGAAGTTGTAAGTATCTCAGGAACACTGATCTACCTGTTTAAAATGAAGGTCATCAGCCAAATGCCACTGGCTCATGCCTGTAATCCCAGCTATTCAGGGAGCTGAGATCTGAGGGTCATGGCTCAAAACCAGCCTAGGCAGGAAAGCCTGTGATTCTTATCTCCAATTAACCAGCAAAAAGCCAGGACTGGCTCAAGTGGTAGAACGCCAGCTTTGAGTGACCAAGCTAAGGAAGGGACAGCATTCAAGTCCTGCTAAGACCCCAGAACTGGCACATGCGTGCACGCATATGCACATATACACTGGTAATCTTTGCCCCATTTACCTGTGATTTTAGGGCACAGAGATAATATTCAATCTCTCCCCAATCTACTTCAGCCAGCTATATATTTGAACATAAAGTAGGCCTTCCAATGATACCTATAGCAAACTGTGGGACTTGTTTGTGGGTAGGCGGGAGATGAACACTTGAACTCAAATTCCTAATACCAGCTGTATGTCTCTCTCTCCTAAACCCCAGTGAAGTTATCCAAACCCCAGATGGAGGCCAGTTCCTGCTCGACTGGGCTGAGCAGCCTAATAGTGGCCACTCCTCTGACCCTACCAGCCAGCCCATAGTGTTGCTACTTCCAGGCATCAGTGGCAGTAGCCAGGAGCCCTACATCTTGTACCTGGTTGACCAAGCCTTGAGGGATGGCTACAGGTAAGGATGAGCACAGCCCAGGGGTGGGGGTGGCTGAGATCTTGTAGTGGGAAAAGGCAGTTTGACCCTCACACTAGTCTTTGAAAGTCTGAGGACTACCAGAAAGGGAGGGCCTGGCTGGGGAGGGCCTGACTTACACACCTATGTGCACCCCAGGGCCGTCGTATTTAATAACCGAGGCAGCAGAGGAGAGGAACTGCTGGTGAGTAGTACCCTCCTTTGTCATGGTGGCCCTGTCCCCAGTTCCTTTAGAGATCTTTGGCCATGGGGCTCTGTCTACCTTCATACTGTTCTTCCCTTCCCCACTTCTGAGTCCTTCCATTTTGCTACCTCTGGCTAGAGCCTCCCTCCCTGTCCAACGATCCTGTTTGCCCTCAGACCCACAGGGCTTATTGTGCCAGCAACACTGAAGATCTAGAGACAGCTGTGAACCACATAAAGTGCCGCTATGCCCAAGCTCCACTACTGGCTGTGGGCATCTCTTTTGGAGGGTAATGGTTACCTTGCTTAACCCAAGGGTCCAGTCTTTCTTCCCTCCTCCATGTCCCTGCCTTTTCTTCTGCCCCAGAACACTCAGGCAAACCACTCTTTATGGCTCTTTGCCAAATCCTGCAGTATATTGGTGCTGAACTACCTGGCACGAACTGGGAAGGCTGGCAGGCTGGTGGCAGGACTGACTCTGTCTGCATGCTGGGATTCCTTTGAGACTGTGCGCTCGCTGGAGACCCCCCTCAACTCATTACTCTTCAATCAGCCCCTCACGGCAGGGCTCTGCCAGCTTGTGGACAGGTAGAGGGGCTCTGGACAAGTGGAGGGGACAAAAGACGGGAGAGGATGGCAAGTGTACCAGGCTCTTTCGGTATTTGGGGCAGTTCTAATCTGGGCTTTCTCACATGAGATAGTAAGACAGAGGCTGCAGGTTTTGGGTCAGATGCAAGAAGCATCAAGACAAACTGAAGTACTCTTTCCAGAAACAGAAAGACGATTGAAAAGGTGTTGGATGTAGACTTCGTGGTAAAGGTATATTTCACCCCCACCCCCACTGGTCCAATATTAGTCTGTTGTCTTCCTATCCTCTGTTATCTTAGCCTATCCTGCCTTTACCACACAGGCCCGCACAATTCGCCAGCTTGATGAGCGCTACACAGCTGTGGCCTTTGGGTATAAAGACTGTGATGACTATTACCAAGCATCGAGCCCAAGAACCAAAGTAGATGCCATCCAGACGCCAGTGCTCTGCCTCAATGCGGCAGATGACCCCTTCTCCCCAGCCCATGGTGAGTAGCCTGAATCAGGAAGCCATGGGCCTGGGAAAGTGGACTGTGAGGTGCAAGTGGACAGCATATGGGTTCTCATTAAAGGCCAGCTTCCTGACCGCCTCTGAACCCCTCCTAGCTTTTCCTCTGCAGGCCATCCAGCGTTCTCCCAATGTCGCATTGCTTGTCACGGCTCGCGGTGGCCACATTGGCTTCCTGGAAGGACTGCTACCCTGGCAGCACTGCTACATGAGCCGCCTCCTGCATCAGTATGCCAGAGCCATCTTCCAGCACCCGGCAGAGCTGCTGGACCTCAGGGCACACTCGTCTAAAAATGGAAAGAGCTGACAAGAGAGAGCCATTTGGGGTCTCAGTTCACTCTTCCCTTGTTTATTAAATATCAACTCTTCCTGCCTAATGAGCTGAGGTTCATTTCCCTTTCCTCAAGTCTGGAGAAGACCATCCAGGAACTCATTGTGTATTTAAACTGGCTGGCTTGGTGTTACCTGCCTGAACCCATACAATACCACTCCCGAGTTCTTCTTGCCCCTTCTCACCCTAACAGGAATGACTAGGCTGGTCCTTGTCCCAGCAAAAGCCAGGGGCTTCGTGTGAAGGCTGTTGAGGGGTGGAGGAGTTTTTGTAGGAAGGATGGCAGTGCCTCCAAGCTCTTAGGCACCTTCACATGTTTCTGGAGAAGGACAAACCCAACTCTGAAGCCTCCGCTAGGCAGAGGGCAGAGGCAGGTAGGATAGCCTGGACTTCAGACACCTCTGTCCTGGGTGGATCCACAGGAATTGAATGCAGGGCTCTGGGGACCCACAGTCACACAGGGCTACAACAATATTTAACTGTGAAGGACAAGGAGCGCCCATCAGTCTCACTGGAGTCAGCCTCAGCTATGGACTCAAATAGATGGAGCACTGTGAGTCCAGGCCCCCATTGTGCTCTAGAAAGTAGCGGTGTCCAGGCCCCCAAGTCCCAGGGGGAAGGGAGGTCACAGGAAGCCTGGAAAGGCACTCTGGAGCAGCAGGATGGTGACAACAATAAGTCCAGCACACAGCAGGAGCAGCAGCCACACAGGAACACTCCCTGAGAGTAGGGAAGGGAAGAAGTGAGTGGACAGAGGGACTTTACAACCTGAAAACCAAGATCCTCAACCTGTTTCATTCAGGGAGGAGGCAGATAGATGGTCATGAACAAGCATTCCGTTCTCCAGGGGACTGGTTTTTGCTACAGCTAAATGTGGGGTGATACCCTCCACCCCAATGACTCACGCCGTGAGGGTAGCAGGTGCAGTTGGCAACGACTGTCCACAGCCACAGAGAAAAGGGCAGTTTCATGGGACCCAAGAAGCTCTGGACCACGACCCTTCTCAGGTAGAAAGGCCACGTCGGTCACCACGATGCCATGGGCCTCTCTCACGTAATAGAGGCGCTGGGGGCAGAAGAAAACTAGTGAGGGAATTTGTTGAAACTTCCTTCTGGAAATGTACTCCCCACCCCCAGTGGGCTTCCCTGAGGTCAGACTCCTTTCTGCACACAGAGCAGAACAGGCCTGCAGCCCTCCCACACGCTGTGCCAGACTCTGCCCATTACCTGAAGAGAGAAAGCGATGTAAATGGCAACAGAGCCAGTGACAGTGCCCAGGCCTAGGAAGGTACCCGATTCACTGCAACGAACAACAGAGTACACCTTGTTCCGGAGGCCTGGGCAGAGACCCTTACTCACCAGAGACAGACAGGCCTCCTTCCTTGAGCCCCCCAGCACCCTCTACCCAGCCAAGCCAGCACTGTCTCACACCTGACACTCAGGCAGGAGATGACTTCATGGCCACAGGACCTGGTTCGAAGGGGCAAGTAGGTGGAGCCTTCCCAGGCTGTGAGGTAGCAGGGTGGGGGCTGGCGCAGGCGCTTGTGGGGGATTTGCACTGTGAAGAGTCTCAGTCCACCAGGCTGGTCTGGAACCTGCCCAAACCTGGGGGCCAGGCAAGGAGCTGTTTAGCCTTCATGAATGGTTTGTGCATGGGGCAACGGGACAAGGCCACAATCCTCCCCAGTACCCCCCATCTCTTCACACTAACATTTCCCCCTCTACCTCCCCTCCCCCCAGTCCCACTGGCTGGAGCCTATTTCAGCCACCTTCCCAGGCCTTCACACCTGCAGGCCTGGTAGCGGTAAGGTGTCTCAGAAAAAGTGGGTCCATTTTCTTGCCAGTGCAACTGTGTTACTAGTTGATCCTTCTGCCACACAGAGGCCTTAAAGTCCCAGCCCACAGTCACCAACTAGTCAGAAATAAAAAATTAAAATATGGGCAGTTAGGGCATCTCCTTATTTTGCAAGCAGCGTAAATATCCCCTCTTTCCTGCACCTCCCCCTTCTTATACCCCCCATCTCCTCACCTTGCCATCAGGCCCAAGAGCCAAGTCTTCAATTTCCCCTTCATGGGCTTTGAACTCCAGAACTTTCTCCAGGCTGGGTACCTGCAGCCAAGCTACCACCATGGTTAGGCCAGGTATATAGTAAGAGTAACCCAATCCCTTGTTTCTTCATTAGGCCACTCACAAGTCTGCCAGAACTCACGTTAAGATTCTCACAATTCTGATCTTTTTTTTTTTTTTTTTTGCGACTGACACGCATCTTCCCCAATCCTGGAACACCATACCTTCCAGACACGAATGTGGCCATCTGTTCCTCCAGTAGCAAGCAGAGTATTATCGTGATTGAAGCACACAACTTTCTGCAGCGGATCAGGACTGAAGTCTGTCCTCACTGCCTGCAGATTCTCTACCTTGAGTTCTATGCCTTCATGCTTGTTTTCAGCTCCAGATTTCTTCTCTTCTGGGGCTGCCCCCTTCCTCTGTCGAGGCCCCTGCTCCTTAGAACCTGCAACACAAACACCTTCCCAGGATCTAGGCCTCTATCTTATACAGGACCCTCTTTATATAACAGGTGATATACAGCCTCTAGCTGCTACTATGAGACCACCCCACCTTTATATGGTGGGGACGGAGTACTGGGATTGACTGACTCAAGGCCTCAAGCTTGCTGGGCAGGTGCTCTATTCCTTGTACTTTTTTAGATAGGGTCTCTGGTTTAGCTTAGGGCCTGCCTCAGTGATCCTTCTACCTATATGCCTCCTGTGAAGCTGGAATGACAGGTGTGTAACTCCATGCCCAGCTTCTTGGCTGAGATGAGGTCTTGCTAACATTTTGCTCTGGCTGGCCTCCAAAACTATATTCCCCATCTCTGCCTCCTGAGTTGTCATTACACAGTGGTGTACCACCAGTCCCGATATTTTTAGAGATGGAGAAGGATCTTAGTAGTTAATCCTTTCTCAAAACTTACCTGCTTTCTCTGCCTTCTTGCCCTTCTGCTGGTGGGTCTGGAAGCGTAGGAGTTGACAGTGGGCATCTTGTCCTGCAGCAAGGATGTCACCTGCCAGTGCCAAGTTCATGGTAGCTCGCGTCTCGGTGTCATGGGAGTGCAGCAAGGAGGCGCTCAGGCGCCCATTAATCCGCTCTAGCTGCAGAAAGTGCTATGAGAGAGAGAGAGAGCCAGGACGGGCAAAGTTCAGGAGTGCCTGGAAGGCAGGTAAGACAAACTCACCTCCTAGCCTGATGCCCTCCTCCTCCTTTGCTTCCTGCACCATGCAGGTCACAGATCTCCATTTTTTAATTTGGGTCTCCCCAAGCTGTACAGCAAGCAGGACTGGGATTCCAGTTTACAGAACTACAAGATGAAACTGAGGAATGGAGAAGGAACCCAAGCCATGGGTACCACCTGCGCGGCTGGAGGGCAGAGAAGGTTCCCCGACTCGGGGAACTCCAACCCCGGGGCTACTCCTGGGGTCGAGCTCAGTCTTCCTGCCCAGGCAGCGGGCGGCGGCTTTCACTCTACCTCAAGAGTCTCTCACCGGCCCGCTGAATAAGTTCTCGGCCGAAATCCGCACCGGGACGCGCGGCAGGCCGGGTGTCCCCGGCAGAAACAGGCAGGACCCAAAGCACGCAGCCGGGGTCCGAGCCTGGAGCCCCCGTGGGACCCGGCCCGGGAGCCCAGCGCTCTCACCACGCCGTTCTTTATGCCGGTCTTGGCGGCGCCTCCTCCGCCCGCGGCGATGAGCAGCCCCGCGCCGGGGTCGATCCGCAGCGCGTACAACGGGAACGGGGCCCGGTACAGCTCCAGAGCCCGGCGCCGGTCCATCTTGCGCGCCGCGCGTCCACTGCCGACCCCACGGCACTCACAACATGCCGCGCCCGGCCTCTGACCTCGGCCCCTGCCGCTGCTGAACGGGGCCGCGTCGCCGCCAGGAGCGCTCCCGACCCTCTTTCCACACCCGCGGGTCGGGTCACCACCGAATCACCGCTAGTCTCTGCGGCTCAGCGCGGGGATGTCCGACTTGGGCGCGCAGGCGCACAGTGCGCAGGCGCCCCGGCCCGCGGGTCTCTGCGCAGGCGCAGGCGGCTGGTACGCGTCAGCACTAAGCCGGCCGTGGGATTGCGGAACTCGGCGTAGATCCGGTTCTCCGTCCTCCCGAGCTCGCCATCTTTGTGCGGGGCATGGGAGGCCGGGAGGCGGGCGGAGCAGGTTTTAGTAAATCCTGGGCAGACGCAGGTCCGTAAGAATTCAAGGCGAGACCCTTTAAAAAAATAAAAAGCCGGGCGCTGGTGGCTCAGGTTTGTAATCCCAGCTATTCAAGAAGCTGAGATGTGAAGGATGGAGGTGTTCGAAGCCAGCCTGGGCAGGAAAGTCCCTGAGACTCTTGATCACCAGTTAGCCACTGAAAAGTTGGAAATGGAGCTGTGGGCAAAGAGCTAGCCTTAAGCACAAAAGCTCCGTGACAGCGCCCAGGGACCCCTCAGTTCCAGCCCCAGGACCAGTGTGTAATACCACCACCCCCCTTTTCGAATGAGGACCGTTTGCACCTGGATACACGTTTATATTTTACTCCAGAGAGGAAGTGATTCGTCCCAAGGCAGCATGGCCTTCAAACCTGGCATCAAATCCCAATCATTGTTTTCTAGTGGCAGGAAACCATTCACTACTCTCCACAGCATCTTTCCTCCATTCTCTTCTTGCTGCCCACAAAGACTTCTGCCACCATGGCTGTTCCCTTCTGACTGCGCCCTGGGAAGGGGTCTTAAGTGCGTGGCACCCCACACTTCCCCCCTTCTTAAAAAAAGTGATATACAGCGGGGGTACAGTTACATAAGTCAGGTAATGAGTACATTTCTTTATGGACAATGTCACCCCTTCCCTCAGTCTCCCAGTTTTTTTCCCTCCAGTCCCACCCCACTCTTCTGAAGACGCCCTGGGGCTTCAGTGTGAGGATCCCTTGCTAGAAGTGCACGTCCCCCGCAAGGAGCATGCGCAGCTGGGCCGTGTGGCCTCCCAGTGCCCCCCCAAGAGGCATGCGCGCAAGAGCGCAGTGGCTTCATCGTTGGAGGTTGCTGCGTGTCTGGTCAACAGGGTTGAATTAAACATGAAGGGCCTGGCTGAGTCCTCTGTGCTTCTCAAGTCCTAGTGGACTATGCATCCTTTGCCTTCCTGGGATACAGGACACCTGTTGTTCTTGACCCCTTTGTTTTGTCAGCCCTCCCTGTTGGGGCCTAGCACCCACTGTGGGCGCAGCAGTACAGAGACACACGTTTCTCCGGATAGGGCTTTATTGGATACATTGAAGGCCGACTAGGGCCTTGGGAGCCTAGGTCCTCTCTTCAGCCAGGAGAGAGGAGACTCCACAAGGGGTTCCCAGGATTCAGAGCAGGAGAAGACACTTGACCTCCGGCCAGCCAGCCCTTCAAGGTGTCTCGGGGACTCTCGGAAATCTGGGGCGGCCTAGCCGGGAAGGTGGAGTTGGGAGGGTGTGCTCTCGGGCGCCTTCGTGGTTCTGGATTTAGGATGGCGATTTTCGGAGAATAGGCTCTGGAGAGGCAGGCCTCTTTGGGGTAGGAGAAGCCCTGGGCCTCGGGGAGGCAGAGGCTTGTTTTGGTGCCGGAAGCGGAGGCCGGGAATGTGGGGTGGAGGTTGGTGATTGAAAGCCTGCAGACCTGAGACTCCCGGCCTGGGAGGGTGAGCCTGGGGCCGGAGTTGATGGCGCCTGGGTAGCTGCTGCTGGACCTCCCGGGGCCTGCGCGGCCTCGCCCCGACGCCCTGCCTTCGGCCTTTTTTCCGGCACCAGATGCAAGGCCCTGGCCTGGCCCCGAGCCAGGCGGAGGCCGAAGCCGATTCCTATGCGGACAGGCGCAGACTCCTGGCCCTGTGCACAGGGCAGTAGTTGGGGGAATGCAAGCAGGCGGGGTCCAGTCTTGTACTCGGGAGTGGGGCAAGAGGGGCTGCGGGGCCGGAGACACACCAGACATATGGGGTACTCCACGACTGGCGCCTTGCCGGTTGTGCCTAACAACAGTCGCTGCAGAAGCAGAAGCCGCAGGTCCTGGGCGACGCGGCGGTGTCCCAGATGGCCCGCCAGGGCCAGGGCCAGGGCCCCTGGGTCCCTGAACTCCGCAGGGTCCCTCTCGCTTGCCACGCATCCCCCCGCCGCTCCAGGGGATCCGGTGTCTCTGCATGGAGGCCACCGCCATGTCTGCCTGTTAGCGTGGTCCTCTGGAGACGGAAGGCTGGGGCTGGGGGACGGGACGGTGGTGGAGCTGGGGAGGTCCGGGGGGCCGCGGGAGGGAGACTGGCAGCGAGAGTGGGGGGAGGTGAAGCCGGTGGGGGGAGAAGAGAGGTACAGCGGGTGGTTGGAGGGAGAGGAGGACCAGGGAGGGGAGAGAGAGGTATAGTTCTGGTGAAAATAAAGGGGAGAACTTGGGAGAGAGGACTTGGAGCAGTGGGGTGGAGCAACGTTAGAATTTGATTCCGAAGAGAAGAAAAGGGGGCCTGGTGAGTGGGGCCTAGGAGGAGGGGAGGTGGGAGACTTGGGGGAAGAGCAAGGAGGATAGGAAGTGGGGAGGGACTGCTTGGGAGGAAGAGGTGGTGGGTTGGATGGGAGGGAGTCCACAAATCGTGAGGGGCTCTGAGGGGGGCACCCGGGGGGCACTGCTTTCTGTAGCAGCGCCTGTTCCTTGTTTTGAGGCAACATTGCCTTGAATCCAGAAGAGACTGGGGTGGGACACGACCCGACCAGGATTAGAGACCTAGCACAGTCGGAGATCCGAGGCCAGCTGTGGCTGAGAATTGGGGCTGCCTTCTATGTGCAGTATGGCTGGGGGCCTGATGGTGCAGCGGGCATTAACTACTGCCAAGGAGACAGCCAGTCCTCTAGACACCCAGCTCTGGTTCTAAGCTTCTTCACTGCCAGCCATTGGTGAGGGATGTATGGGGATGGAAATCAGAGCTGTCTTGTGAGTTGAAGGGCAGCAGCAACTGTAAGGGAGGCCAGGAAGCAAACACGCCCATAGAACCTGTAGAGAAAGAGACAAAGGCCAAGACTTCAAGAGGACTGGTTTCTGGGCTTTCTCTGCTTTGGATGCCCAATTTCCAAGCTGAACTCTAAGACTCTATCTTTGCCACCCTTGGGGTCTGAATGCTCCAGAGAATGTGAAAAGTGGGGAGAAGAGGAGAGGAGATGGAGACAGGTGGGAATGGAAGGGAGGGCGCTCTGATACTGTGAATTCTTAACCAAGGAGGCTTTCTCTCCACTGTGTTACACAGGCGCTTCAACAAAGAGAACACCTTGGGAGGGGGAGGAGGAGAAAGAGAGAGAGAGACAGACAGACAGAGAGAAATGGAGTCACAGAGCAGTGAGTAGAACATACCTCCTCTGCCCCCTGCATCTCTCACCCCAAACTCACTCTGATCCAGAATTTGGTCTGAGCGCTGTCCTCTAGCTTTTCCTTCTAGCCAGGCAGAGTCTTCTGTGGGACAGGGTTGGGCCTCCTAATCCTCCTGCAGGGATTTGGCAAACATCCTGGTTTTCTGCCACACTGGTTCCCCTGAACTCTTGTCTCTCCAAATACTAGTGTTCTTTGCTTCAGCCTGGTCCTGGCTGAGATGGCTTATCACACCCAACAGCAGCGACCGCTCCAGCTGGTAAAAGGCTCTGGGAGACTGGGACTCTAAGGGGCGGCGTTGCCGCCCCCAGTGGGAGCTGAGGGCTTGTTCCCTGAAGGCAGTTCGTAGCAATCCAGTCTGTGTCATAAAGATGGATGCTGACATCATAGAATCTCTTCTTCAAGGCTCTGGGCCCGTCTTTCCCAGATCAGCCAAAGGCTGACCCTCGACAAAACTGTGAAGCAGGCAAAATTATTGGGCACACCATTTAAGGGCCCAGTCCTTATCTTTTTGTTTTGTTTTTCTGTTTTTGTCCTGTCCTGGGGCTTGAACTCAGGTCCTGGGTGCTGTCCCTGAGTTTTTTCACTCAAGTGCTCTACCAGTTTGAGCCACAGTACCACCCCCAGTTGGAGATGAGTTTCTAGGACTTTCCTGCCCTGCCCAGTCCCCCCCCCATTTTTACAGCTCTCACATTTAATCCATCCATAGTGTTCCCCAACCATAGAGCCTATCTGAGCCAAACTTCCTTTTCACTTCTTCGCTCTCCTAGGAGAGGCTCCAGCTCCACACTTGTTCTTCTCTTGGGATGTATTTATAGGTTTTAATAGCTGATAACACCTTTCTTCAGATACAGTTTACATAGCACCCAGTCTCCCTATTTAGCATGTTTAATTCAATGTGTTTTACTCTAGTCACAGGATTTTATAGTCATCTCCACAATCTAATTTTAGGACATTTTTCAAGGGCAGGTACTGGGATTTGAACTTCTTGAGCTCACTCTTATTTGCTTGCTAGGGTGACTATCACTTGAGTCTGGCCTCCAACCCTGCTCTTTGCTGGGTTATTTTAGAGACCAAGTCTTATTTCCTATCTAGACTGGCTTTAAACCACTATCCTCCAGAACTCAGCCTCCTGAGTAGCTGGGTTTACAGATGTGAGCCACCAGCACCAGTAATTTCAGAACATTTTTGTGATTCCCCCCCCCCATGAAATCCTTTATTAGTCACCATTCTTAATTCCCCTTAAACCCTGGAAACCACAAGTCTCTTTGTTTCAATGGAGTTACATGTTCTACACGTATAAATGGACTTTAGTCCCTAACTTCTTTCATTTTGAATGTTAAAAAGATTTCTGTTGGATTGCATGTGATTACTTCAGCTCTCTTTATTTTTTTGCCAAATAATAATCCTCTTTATGGATAGACTGCATTTTATTTTATTTTTTATTTTTTTTATTGTAAAGATACTATACAGAGGGTTACAGTTACATGAGTGAGGTAATGAGTACACTTCCTCTTGAACATTGTTAGCCCCTCCATTGTTT